TACCGTGCAAATTGTAAGTTCAGTCGTGCGAATTCATGCTAATTGCGTGCTAAATTTTGACATAAAAAAAAATTCTAAAATTTTTTAATGGGTGCGGCCATTATATAAATATTTTATAAACAATTTTTTCCACAAAATTAAAACAATCTATAATTCAACAACATTTTAAAAATAACGATTGCTCTTTTGCAAGACACAACTATTTTTAACCCGACCTACCAATTTTTTTTTTAGCTATTGTCATAAGTCCTGAAAAAGTGGTGAAGGGAAATATTTGTGTCCACAACTAACGTAGTTTTTATTAAAAAAAGCTATGTACGCAATTAGTATTATGACAACGAAACTCTTGTCCGCAATTGTTATATTATAATTTCTAACCTGAATAATTCGTTCGCAACTAGTATGTGTCCGCTATGACAGCAGTGGCTGTGAATAAAAACCTACTTTTTTAGTTCCAAAAACATGGCTAACTGACTGGTTTTAGAACAAAAAACCTATTATAAAAGTTATAAAGGAGAGTTGATTATGTTAACGTATAAGACTAGATTTTTGATATTTTAATTTATTATACCAATTATTCACAAATCAAAAAAGTGAAAACAAAAAACAAAAAAAGCAATACTATTTTATGGATTTGGAAAATGAATTATCGAAAATCGGGACCTCCAATTTTATATAAAATATCCATGACAACCTCATAAAAAACATTTAAACATAATTTCTATATAATATATATTATTTATTGTGTTAAAAATATAAGAATTTATAAAAATTAAAACTTATCTCATAAAATAATTAGTTGCGACATCCGACAAATAGTAATTTTTTATGTAATTTTTTCCAGAAAAAGTTGCATTTAAAAATATCATTATTTGTATAAAATATAATAATATAGGTACTTAAAACTTTCAAGTACCCACGAATAATATTAATTCTGAGCGGAGCGAAAGAATGTATTGGTTTTACAATGATGTGTGTTTTTTTTTTCTGTCTGTCAGCGATATTTTGGATAGTACCTGAACCTAAGCATGCTTAGATTTTTGAGATCAACATCTTTACTGATAAAAAAGTGAACATGATTAGAACTTTTGGGAGTTCAATATTGAAAATTCCAAGTAGTTTTAGAAAGCTTCGAGATAAACTACAGACAAATTAGGAAAAAACCGCTAAAAGTGGTATTTTAATTTCTAACGCTTTGTTTATCACCATACCAACGAATAAAAAAAAAAATATTATAAGGACTACGCTAACCATTCAGAATCATTTTTGGTATACAATGGTTTATCATTTTATTCAAATATTACACATCCATCACAACTATTGTACAGCAGAGCGGAACTCGCTTGTCCACCATTTTTTCCTTAGATATAAAAGTCGAACATTATATACATTTTTAACTACAAAATAATTATTCAATTTTAAATTTGATACATTTTGTAAAAATTCGATCTTTAAAAGTTTATAAAAAACAGTTGTGCACTTTTAATATTTTTCAACTGCCATTGTAACCATATATCAGAAGCCTTGTATTACATTTTTACACTTTTTGGCCCAACAGATAAAACTTTATTGATATTCATAGAAAAAAAACTAACAAAATTGAAAACTGACAATGTCCGTTAAAAGCTCATAAAGGAGTATAGAAAATGAAAATATAACATTCAGTAAAATGTTCATGTATCTACAGTTCTTCGTTTTTTAATAACAACAAAATAACAAAATCGCTACATGAGAAATATATAGTGAAAATCCAATATTGTAAAAATATGAACTTCAAACGCTCATAAAAATTTATTTTAATTTGCTTATAGACATTTCTTTTTTCGTTAAAGGTAGACAAACTTATGAATAATCTTGTATTACATTTTCAAATCTTAAATTTGAAAAGAACATTTTTTTTTGAATTCTCAACTCAAAATAATATTTGCTAATTTTCGTGATTTTTCCGTATTTTGTCAAGATTTGAACGCTTTTTTAAATGCTAATAAAAAAAAACTGTAACTGAAGATTTTTAATATTTTTAAAATGTTACTGCAACAATATAGTAGGAGCCTTGTATTTTGTTTTTCAAGCTTTTTTACCCAACATATAATATTTTATTGGCATTCATAGAAAAAAAGACTAATACAATTTCAAACTGAAAATGTTCCTTTTAACATTTCAAAACAATCAAAATATTTTGAAAATTTTACAGTGTATATAAAATGTTAATATAAACGATCAGTGAAAATGTCATGTATATACGTTCATTTGTTTTAGAGTTACACCAAAAACCAAAACCGATTTTCTCGGCGCTATTGAAAACTATATTGAGAAATATGACCTCCCGAGTACACCAACTAGATTCACTTTCCTATCGAACAAGATACTGTTGAAGAAAATCGAAGCACTTTTACTGCCCCAAACCGTGATTACAGACACAAAAATTAAAAAAAAATCACTTCATTGTAAAATCAGTACATTCATCGCTCCGCTCAGAATCTAAAATTGGAAACTGAAAATTTCCGTAAACAACTCATGACGAGTCCAAATATTTTCAAAATGTTATGCTATATAGTAAATGAAAATATAAACATTCAGTGAAATTTTCATGTATCTACAGTTCTTCGTTTTTGAATTGCAACAAAATAAGAAAATCGCAACATGAGAAATTGAGTGAATAACCAATGTTGTAAAATTATTAACTTCAAACACTCATAACAATTTTAATTTGACTTTCTTGTACTTATTTTTTTTTTGATTAAGGTAGACAAACTTATGAGGAATCTTGCATTACATTTTCAAACCTTAGAACTTAAAATGTTTGTACAACAATTAAAGGTACGGTAAAAAATTTTCTAGCCTACATAAAATTGTTAATTGTTATATAAAAATAGGTATATTATTGGGCAGGCGGTGGCTTTAATTGAAAAATGGTTAGTGTCATAGGCGTGCGCACGGGAGGGGCAGGGTGGGCAGCTGCCCCTCCTGCGGGCTCAAGTTTTCTTACAAAATAACAAAGTTTTTAAAAAAATATTATAATACAGTTTTATATAATGAATATTATGTAAACATTGAGTGCTCGATGTACAGTGCACGATGATTTTATGTTGTCCAACTTTAAGCGAACCACAAGCGATACCGCGGTGATAACGAGTGCTTATAATCTTATTATAGCATGATGTAGATTGAGATGTGATGAGACATGAAAGTGAGTAGTAATTTGACGGCATTTAATGCGAAAAACGTTCACCGGAAGCGCTAAGAAGGTCGGTTCTTTAAATAATTAGTAATTAATAATTATAATAATTAGTATGCAGTATACGAACAAATATTATAGCTCTTTACTTCCGAAGCAATTTTCGGAATTTTTAGTATTTTAGTATTTTTATGCTCAACGTGTTGATTAAATCAGAATATACCTATCTTTTTTTTAATGTGGTGTTTTATATTGAAATTAATTTTCTATTTATACTGTAACCTACAAATCAAATTGTTTATTATATACCTATAAAGTATAATTTATAAAACAGTTTAAATAATAGGTTACATGCCTACAATAATGTATAAATTTCAATATTACCAAAGAATAGAATATTATTGATACATTAATGCATGATATAATAGTGGTACTATTTTTGGAAAAATCATACTAAGGATTTACATTTTTTTTTAAATGTTGATATTTATATGTTCAACGTGTTGGTGCAAATAATAATTTACCTATCTTACTTACTTTTTTTGTAATTGTAAATAAATAGTAAGTAGAATTAGTAAATTCAGATTTCACCAACACATCGGGCATAAAAATATATATGAATGCAGTGGCGGATCCAGGGCTTAATTTTGGGAGGGGCATGGGGGGCTCAAAAGTATATGAAAGTTCCAAAATTGGCTAAACACAGTGTAAAACAAAGGAAAACTACGGTTATTGGGGGGGGGCAAATGCCCCCTTTTCCATCCCCCTGGATCCACCACTGTATGAATGTAATAATTTTCTTTGTTCATGTATATTAATATAATATAAAAAAACTTTGGAGTTTCAATTACTATATTAAATTTGTAGTTATTTGTAGTTTTAATGATACATAAAATGAAAATACTTCCATCACTTACATTAATTGAACTAATAACCAAAATAATATTTACTTACCTATATATTATATAATATACCTATAGGTACATTATTACATTCTGCCCCCCCTGCCAGCAAGGTCTGCGCACGCCTATGGTTAGTGTATAAGACCGCTGAGCGAATATTTAAAATATTATGGCGGCTTTGCATTTACGTGTATGAATTTTATTTCGACGGGATACGTCACGTCTCTATTCTGTGGACGAACGTTCATAAAGCCCCGTCCACACTCCACACCAAAGAAAATTTTGTCGGAAACAAGTGTTTCCAACATTGTCATCGACAATGTTTCCGATTTCCGCTCATAAGCGGTAACATAAATATTTGTCGACGACAATGTCAGAAACATATGTTTCCTACAAATGTTTCTTGGTCTGGACCGGGCTTAAGATAATAAACAACGCTCCCCAACTCGACAACTCGTCGGTCGGTACACGGTTGTGAGTAGTGGGCGCGACACGTCGCGTGCTGCAGATCACGAAAATACCTAACAGCTCATTCTCTTGGTCATTGCATGGTTTCCTTTGCCCGTGTGGCGTCCTCTTAAAGATGTATAGGTTGCACATCGACTACTGATAAGGTGAAATACGAAATTAATTCCAATAATAATTAACCAGCGGCAGTATTACAATCAACCGATTATTAGATATAAAGGTGTAAAATTAGTTCTAAAAGTCGACACATATGGTTTAGTGTTGACATCAAGCACCACTACATATAGTTAATTATTAACAGCTGTTTTATATAGTCACTTTGTAAATCAATCTGAAAGCCATTTATTATAGGGCGATGTGCAACCTGTACATGGGCGTCCCCAGACATTTTTCTAGGGGGGGGGGGGGGGCAAAATTAATTTAAAAAATAAATGAAAATTTTTTTATACATTTTATTTATAGTATATTATTATACATCTTTCTTTTTCATTAAATATAAATTCCAATCTCCGTGGACATTCTCTACCAAATGTTGTCAGTGCATTTTCAATAAATTTTTCTTTATTTGAATTTACTTTTTCTCTATGAACACTCAACATGCATATTCCATTCAGTCTATCATCACCCATCGTTGATCGTAACCATGTTTCAACACGCCTTAATGTACTAAAAGAACGTTCTGCTGTACAGCTTGTAGCCGGAAGAGACAAAAATATTTCCAAAGCAACAGCTATATTTGGAAAAAACGTACAGTTACAATTTAACAAATCAATAAAATCAATATCTTGGCAGTCCTTATTTTGCCAAAAACTGTACCAACTTTCCGCTTCAGCTTGGAGATTATCAATTTTATAGAAATCAGCAATTTTTTCAATGCTTTCAAAATACATTTTTTTTAAAATGTTGGGGTGAAGATATTGTAGTAAAAATGTATTATCATTTTTTTTATCAAAACGTTCTTTTATAGATTGTAAAATTGAATCAATATATGGTATAAAAATTGAAACTCGGTAATAATCTTCACAACTCTCAGTTTCATAGTTCGCTTTTAGTGACTGTTTCTTTACCGTTCTTGGACGTGTAATGGCAATATCTAAATCAATGGCGATTGATTTCGCTTCGTTTAATAATGTTTGGAAAATGTTATCAGCGTCATTTCGATGATTATCGAACAATATTAGTAATGAACACGGACTAAGATATAATGGACTGGAAACGAGCAGCTTATCATGGCCACGAATGTATGTACAAGAGGCAAAGTGCGGGGGGTCGCTATCTGTTCTTGGAGTTCACAGCGCCCTCTGTATTTAACACGGACTAAGATACAAATTGTGTAGCCAAATAAAACCACCGGTAGCGCTGAAAACTTCAAGAACAGTATTCTTATCAGCTAAGTGACATCTTTTCGTGGCCGTCCCCCGATCCCCGCCGACCATGTCGTTTCCAGTCCATTATATCTTAGTCCGTGGTAATGAATTAATATGCTCGCTGACTTTATATAGATTTACTGAGACGCGCCTTGTAACATGACTAAATAAATAGGTATGATCACAAAAAATTAGTTTTCGTTCGGTTGGCGCATCTCCCACTATTCTAACCACAAAACCATTGCTCGTAGTTCTCCGCATTTCATTGGCCGGCAATATTTTTGCCGCCAAAATACAAAACTTCATTATTTATTATCGTATTTAATAATAATGTAACAATTGAAAGTTTATTTGTTAATTGTTTCGATTTCGTTTAACATTTTTTCAACTCAATTTTAAAATGCCGAAGTGTGTATTTGAAGGTTGTTCCAGTGGCTGTAGGAAAAAAGGAGTTTTCTTGAACAAAACAATAGTGTTGCATTTATTTAGTCATGCCTTGTAATATATTTGTCTAAAATAGCACTGTATTTTGCCATAATAATCATAGAAATTAAGAATGATGAATTTGAGGCCGCAGAATATAAGTAATGAGCTCGTTGCCTTGTATTGGAATTTGAATGTACTTCATTATTTGATAATGATTTAAAACTTGTCATTATTGAAATAAAATGTTCTGAAAATACTCTTATACTCTTATATTAAGACGACCCGCGTGTTTCACAAAATAGTGGTATGTTAGGGATAAGTGTTCTTCTAAGCGAACTTTCACGGAAAAATCTTATAATATCTTTTATAGTTCCAGTATCCAGTAGTATTACAAATAATCATTATTTTATTTAAATCATTTATAACTAAATTTAACCTGTGATTAGAACAATGAAAAAATAACGCTTTGTTATATTTATCTAGTATTAGAAACTAATTTATCATTTGGAATTTTACCAATTTCTGTGGAAGTAACATTATTCCAGGGGGGGAGAGTGCCCCGTCTTGCCGCCCCCCCCCCTGGGGACGCCCATGAACCTGTATAACTTTAATAGTGGTTGTTGTTAATATCTATGGTGACCACGGATATTCTATAAAAATATTTTTATATATCTGTGGCGGCGACCAGTGTAGCCAACGCATGGCCGACTGTGCGCGTTATCTTTGCGCCGATGTCCCATCCGTTATCACCGCAGAATGAACACGGGCGTTTTGCAGACGTGATAGGTATTAGGTATTATTAATATTATTATTACTATTTTGTATTTAGTATTTTGTCGTATAAACTTTAAATCGTACAGACCAGTGACCACTGTCTAAATTAACAACCAAATACATTATACACCGAACAAGTTACAAGTGTTACAAATACCTTACGAATTAACAAGACAAGTTTCAAATTTGTCTGTGCTTAAATATTATACTCACATCCCATCCATATTTTGTTTCGGATCGAGGTCGCATTTTCATTTGCTCGTTTATTTTTTATCTGTATTCCCCCTTCGATTTTTGTGTTTGGAAGTGACGTGACAAACGAAAACCACCCATCTCTAACGTTTCGCCACTGGAATTTTTCCTTCAGTTTTTAGATTATGACTGACGAAAAATTACCGCCTATGATGGCCACAGACGATCCAGTTGATGACGAGGACGACGATATTTTCAGTTCAACAATAGACGTGAGTTGTTGTAACGTTCGTAGTACGTTTTAGAGAGAAAGAAAATTGTTTTATTATGTTATTATTCTGTGTTTTCTATTCTTATTCTATTTCTGATTATTAGGATCTTAGCAGTCTGCGAAACGAAGAGCTTTTTGCATCGTTAGCGGCAGTTCCTCCGCCATTGACCAACATTAGTTTGAATGAGGGATCATCCACACTGCTTGAATCAGATGTACCGCTAAACAATGATCACAAAGAGGTGAGACTTTGCAAAAGTTATTGGGTACAAGGAATTGTAATTTAGTCTAGTAAAATAAATATTAATATAGGTAGGTACAGTAAATATAGCAGGATTCACATAGGGGACAACCCTAATCAATTAAATAGAACTGTCCTAATTTAAGCAAAGATTTAAAACAGTTTATTTCATAAAAGTATCCCAAGTCAAATGTAATTTGTCATTAAAAGTGAATAGATATTTATATTGTTTCTTTTATACATATTATAATTTATATTGTTTCTTTTATACATATTATAATTTTATCTAGTTATGGTATCTATATCGTATTATAAATGATTTTATATTATTATATTATTCATTTTTAATTTTGTATCAAATTCCAACAATGAGTAATGACAATGTTTTATCTTAATACTGTGATATTTAAATATACTATTTTACTTTAATCTCTATTACATGTTTACTATCAACATTTTCCATTGATATCAATTGCCACCCATTTATTTGAAAATAATTATCAGTTATAAATTATAATACCTTACATTATACAACAAACAGTAAATTGTCTTTGTTATGTTTATGTATATCAAAATTATTATCATAATTTACATATGCTAACCTTTTGAACTTAACTTCTAATTTTTCCATCTGAAATCTAGATATTATAAAATGTTGAATTACTGTATTATCAAATAATCTAATTTATATTATAATTTAATATTGTTTTAAGTCTTTCAGAATACATTTTATTCATAAAGTGGCATGCCAAATTTTACAATGAAAAGAAAGTTATTGCTATAACTATGATGTTTATAAAATGTCCTGTGTTGTTTATATTCAATAGAAATAATTTAATGCTTACCTCAACAGAATTTATTTTATTTTAGTTTTACAATGATATGTTTTTATTTTTTATTTTTTGCCTGCATTAACACTTAAATAATAAAAATATCATTGTAATTGTAATTGTAAGGCACTTGAATAACACATAGATAAATTTAAAAATTAAATGTTTAAGTATAATATGAATCATAGTTTGAATAATTTTTATTAGTTTATTACTTATTAAAATATATGAACTACCTACCTATACCTACTAGTGTTTGACATAAATATATTTATCAAATTATATTTCAAAATTATTAGGTAATTATTTAACTATTAGTTATTATTGTTATTGTTAAAGGTGCAACAGATGACTAGTAAAAATGTGATTTCTAATGGATTTGAAGCAGAAATCAATTTAAAAGAAAACGATACTCCTTCAGCTTCTGAAGAAATTAATCAAGTGGAAGAAATCCCAAATGTGTCTACTAATGATATGAACTTTGAAAATATTGAAAACGGTTTTATAAAAATATCTATTTCTGAGACTACTAAGGTTGGAGAAGGCATGAGCTCCTACGTTGCATATAGAATTGTTACCCGTACAAATATGACTATGTTTAAAACAAATAATATGGCAGTACTTAGAAGGTTCAGTGACTTCTTAGGACTACATAATAAGCTAACTGAAAAATATTTAAGAAATGGGCGTCTCATACCCCCTGCTCCTCAAAAAAATATGTTAGGTATGAGCAGCATAAACTAATTGTGTATGTATGGAGAAAGATAAAATTAATCTAAGATTTTCAAATTGTATAAAGGTTCGACAAGAATTAAAATATCTGGAAACCAATCTGATCAAGCAACGTCAGCAGAATTCATAGAAAAAAGACGTTTAGCCTTAGAAAGATTTTTAAAGAGGATTGCTCTACATCCAATTCTTCGTAATGATAAAAGCTTTTGTGATTTTCTAGAACAAGGTATTTTTTATATTCTAATTGTGATTGATATTATAATAATTTGACATAAATAAAACTTGTTTAGATTGTGAACTTCCAAAGGCTACTAGTACATCTGCATTAAGTGGGGCTGGTGTCATGAGACTTTTCAATAAAGTTGGAGAAACTGTTAACAAAATCACTTATAAAATGGATGAAAACGAACCAGTAACTATAGTCCTATTCATTCTATTTTTTTTTTTTTTTTTGTTATTTATGAATTAATGATAATTTGTTTTTAGTGGTTTGAAGAAAAAGAAGTACAAATAGAAAATTTGGATTTGCAACTTCGGAATTTACATGGAGCTGTTGAAACATTAGTGATCAACCGTAAGGAATTAGCACATTCAAGTGGATCTTTTGCAAAATCTGCAGCAGTATTGAGTAACTGTGAAGAACATACTGGATTGTCACGTGCATTATCACAACTTGCCGATGTATTTGAAAAGGTTAAATATTAACTCATACTATTTTATGAATTATCATCATACAATTATTTTATATCAGTTTAATATTATTGAATAATGTTAACACAATAATACTTAATAATATTATTACCATATTTATTTACCATTTTAATTAATAACAAATTTTCTATCAAATAAAAGTTTTTGATTAATTATTAATAATAAGAATATGTCATACTCACAACTAAATCATACTTAATAATTGTATTATACTTTTTTTTTAAATTTTATTATTGTAAATTTTAGGTTGAATCTGTAAGAACTGAACAAGCCAATACAGATTTCTCTATTTTTTGTGAACTGTTAAAGGATTACATTGGCCTTATTGGAGCTGTAAAAGTATGTCATACTTTATTTAATTCCCCATAATACCACACATTAAATAAAATGTATTTATTCAATCTGTGATAATACTATTATTATTACAATTATTTGCATCAAATATTTCTAGAATGTATTTCATGAACGAGTTAAAGTCTATCAAAACATGCAACATGCACAAATGATTTTAACAAAAAAGCGGGAACAAAAAACCAAGCTAGAACTTACTGGACGTTTAGACAAAGTAGGCTTTGTTACAAATGAAGTATCCGAGGTAAATTCTATAATAAAAAATAATAATTTTAATTTTAAATGATCAAGCAACAATAGCAATAATTATTGTTTTGTTTCTAGTGGGAAGCAAAACTATCCAGGTGTCAAGATGAATTTGATCAAATTTCTAAAACTATTAAAGTGGAATTTGAACAGTTTGAGATAAACCGAATCAAAGAGTTTAAGACAGTTATATCGTCATATCTTGAAGAAATGATAAACCATCAAACTCTGGTAACATTGTCATTTTATATATTTTTGAAGTAATCACTGTATTATAATTTATAATATACATTTAGTGCAAGAAAAAAGTGTTAAATAAAAAATCAATACTTGTTGGTGGGATTTTTTTAAGTTTAAAAATTCCTTAGTTGAATATATTAATACTACTAGCTAATCCTGTGCACTTTGTTGCCCGTTAAATGTATCAACTCTATATGACTTTGTTCAATTCGTTATTTAATATTCGGTGTATAGTGTTCAAAATTTATCTTAACTTTTCCGTTGCTCGGAATAAAAATTCTAATTTGCAGTAGTACATTATCAGGTAGGCAATCTACCTGCAGTAGATCGCGGACCCCGTGCTGTTTGTACGTAACTTTATAATTTAACTCTAAAGTATCAAAGTTATACCAAGTTTGTCGTTTTACTTAATTCCACCTACGGTAGATTAATATAATCAATTTATACAAAATCCTATCCTAACCTAAACATACTCAAATCCGATGAATAAAACCGATAATAAATAAACACTAATTAGTAATTTCTACTGTTGACTGTAACCAATGGCAACTATTAAAAAATAAAAAAAAAATTCCAATTTCCATCTTGAACCTCTATGTCCCTGTTTGAGCACCTATTTAAAATGCGAATTTCGGCAAATCCTTTCTTATTGCATGGTGAAAATATGAGAAGAACCTCTATTCCAAATTTCAAGTTCGTACGTTGTGTAGTTTTTGAGTTACTACAGCGATTAGTGACTGAGTGGTATTTGGATTTTATATGTATAGATTATAGATAAATGCCAAATAAATACTATTCACTTAACACTATTTTACAAAACCTATGAATTTTAATTTTAGAGTAGTGGTTCTTCTAATGCTCTAAATGTGTGATAAGAAAGGAGTTTTTAGATGTGTTCAAATAGCAATTGGTTTTGACAAACAGAAAAATATTTTTGTAGGTAATTAATTAATATAAATGGTTGCCATTGGTTACAAAAAATAAAACAGTTTTTTTGATTGGATATAATTTTTAATATTTTATGATTTATGAAACCTTGATATAAACATTGTTGGCCATAATTTATTTGGGGAACAAATTATTTTTCTATCAGTGGGGTTATATGTTACCAGTTCTATGGTTACCATTCACTTTGGAAAATTGACTCTTTCGTAATTAAAAACCTATCTTATTTATATCTTGCATATCACAAATTAAACGCATTCATTTTTATATGTGCCATGAATTTTAAACTTACACCATTAATGTAATATTTCATGAAATGCACATTGATACATTTGGCTGTTTATCTGTCTGTCTGATTTTCTGGGAAAGGCTACTAAATGGATGGCCCATATTGACAAGCTTTTCACAGTTATATTATCTAGTAAATAAAATATAATCTATGATTAGAAATAATTTTACTCCTGTATTTTATATTTGTTTAATACTACCCAATTTTTGTTAAATAACTGTGTAGTTTACATTTAAGTATTTAACAAGGGGTAAATCTATAGGCATTTAATTTGTTAATACCGTGCAGGATCAGCTAGTAATTTAATATATGTTACCCTATATACTCTCTATATATTATATGACTTAGGTATTTTGATTTTATCCAAAATCTAGTTTTTATGTTTTAAATCTTAATTAGTTCAAATGTAATTATTGAAACTTCTTTTTACCGTACACAAATGATATTATAACTGAAATATATATACTGAATATAATTATATTTAGATAAATTTATTTTTTCTTAGATTATTAAACATTGGCAAGCTTTTATTCCTGAAGCTAAAGCCATAGCCTGACCCAATTCTAACGCCCAATGTGATTTGGCTTCTAGCAAACGTAAAGAACCTGTTCACATTTTAGAATTTGCTGGAAATATATTGGAAGCATATACAGAGTCGTAAATTCAACATTTTTTACTCTAATTTGTTTATTTATTTAATTGTTTATCATAATGTTTAGAGTTCATTATTTATCCCAAAATTATGTATTTCTCCAGTAATATTATTATTATTATTTTTTTTTAAACATTCTATTCTATTAATTTATCTTTATTTTTATATTATCATACATAAATACATATATATATGTACATAAATATACACATAACATGTATATTTATATTAAAATAATTATTGATGTTTACCTATTTGCTATTAATTATTGTAAAACCAATTGTCTTTATTGTATTGTTGTTATTGGTACATTTCACAATCTTGTGTAATCACCTATTATAAATTACGGAAACAAATAAGTTGATACTAGTTATAAATTATTTATTGTTAAAATTATTATATATATACATTTACCAATTAAATCAGTCATCCATAAGTTTTGGAACTACTTGTCTTTTTTTATTCTGCATTCGACTATCTGTAAATTGTTTTCAACTTGATCAGCAACTATTTTATTTTTATGTATATACTGTTGTCAGATCTTAAAACTATATTTTCTAAAGCAACTATCTAAAGTAAAAAAATTATATTTTACTATAAACATGACAACACCAACTTCATATTATCCAATTAAATTAATTTATTGATATAATATACTTTTTGTTCAAAGCAAAACATTGAGACCTTGAAAAAAAATCAAAGATAGGGCATTAAACGAGTTGTAAATTATAAATATTTAATTTCACTGATTAGAAAAACACCTTTAAAATGACTTGAATAATCCAAATTTAATTCATTGCCCTGATAGCTGACATATTATATCTATATATGCCCAAAACCTCATATAGATTATAGATTTAAAGAGAACAATATTAAGCGAAATAACAATTTAAAAACCGGTTAAGTAGACCTATTTACTAATTATGTAGTAGGATAGTAGGCCTTAAGTGGAATTGGGGATATTCTCCCCCTCTCCAACTGTTTTCAGTGTAGTAGGACATTTCCCCCTATCTTATTTTAAAGTTTACTATTTAATAATATTAAATGTAACAACATTACCTATATTATTTAATAAAATTATTTTTTTTGGCCTATTATCTAATATTGTCTACAGAATAAATTTCCAAATATTTGCATAAATATATTAAATTATTGATGTATATTTTTGATCAACTAAACTACTTTTAACAATAAAAATTGCTATTAAAATAATAAATAAAACAAATTAAGGAAAATATAATTTTAAATAAGTATAATAGTTGGCTAAAAGATTGTCTAAATAAAATATAATTAAAAATGTCTATGTTACCTAACTGGCTACCTAAGACAGTTCTAGTATTATTAGTTATTACTTTATATATATTATTACTATTATTATTCAGTGCCAAGTATTGTCTTTTAAGTCAATTATTAATAAAATTGAATTGCCTAATATCCTTAGTATGGTAAATTACATAGGTAATAGAAAATGATCTTTCAAGTAGCTTTCCAGATATTATTACTGCATGCTTGATATTTTTAACTATACCTGTAACTGTAGCTTCAGCAGTTCAGCCGAACGATCATTTTCTAAATTGAAACTTGTGAAGAATTATTTAAGAAAAACAATTTCTCAAGAAAGACTCAATAATATTTCAATTTTAATTATAGAAAGAGAGCACACCAAAGAACTAAATATTGACCAAATAATTAACAATTTCGCAAATCAAAAAGCAAGAAAAAAAATTTTGAAATCTAACACTAATATTCAAATTAGGTAGGTAATTCCAGTGCTGGGCCGATGCAAAATTTCGAGGGGCCCCATATGGCCAATGGCTGTATATGTTAATTTATTAATTATTATACAATATACACATTTATTTTATTTTTAGGGACTAACTTTAATCTTATATAATTTTGTAATCTTAAAGCTCTTTTAATTATGTTAGAAACCTAAATTTGTTCGTATAATCAATGTACAAACAATATTTTATTAATAAATATTTTTATTATATTGAACATAAATTATAATAATAAGAAATGAGTATAATTACGTTAACTAAGAATAAAAAAAATTTAACAAAATAATATAATATTATTTAAATATTTTTTTTATGCAAACCGATCAATTGTCTCTTTGTAAATACAATAATACTATAATACTATAATACATTAATACTATGTTCGATGCTGATAAGGGCCAGGTCCAATAACTTATGCTGTGATAGATTGCTTCTTAAATAATTTTTATCAGCTTCAATTTAGAGAATGAACGTTCAGCACCAGCTGATGTAACTGCAGGTATGGTGAGCAATATTCTATTGCCACTTCTATATTTGGAAATGAACTAGAAACGTTTTTTAAAAAAGATAATGCCTGCAGGGGTGTTGCGTTTTCGTCTACTATACTTCGAAAAATAAGAAGTTCCATGTATAAATCTGCACCATTTATATCTCTAGAATTGCCTTCACTCAATACGTTTTGCAAATCGTTACAACCATTTTTAATGAAATCATCATTTTGATGTTTAAGTCTTCCAATTCTGTACAAAAATCCAAAATTGGAGTTAAATGTGCTCTGGTACTCAAATCGTACTCTCAATGCTTCCGTAGCACGGTCAATTAGAATCAAAAAGTAATCACGACGAAATTCTTCTTCTGAACTAATTGTATATTCATCGTTACTTTCGTAGTTAAACATTTTTTTTTTCTTTCTTGGTCTTTTTTCCTTGAAGTTAGCAGTTCCACCAGGCACCAATAGATTCAACGATTTCTATTCCAACCAATTTGGCGTTTTCAAATCCATTTGTACGATATTTTTCTAGAAAAGTGATAAGACTCCCTAAGCTGCTAGCCGATGCATCTAAATCCATTTTAGGATCTTGTAAAATTCTGTTTACAATTTTAACTTGACCCAAAATATCATGCCAGATTACCAGCCTTAAAACAAATTCAAAACTCATCAAGCCGTTATCAGTGGAAAATTAGTGTCACGCTCGGGACAATACTCGGGACCACAGGAATACCATTACGCCATCTATTTGTATTATATTTAATTGCAAAACTATTTAATTATTTTTATTTCCATTTTCATTTTTAACACTGAAATGGACGTATACTACAATATACGATACACACAATATTATTAGAATATTATAACATCATAAATGTTAATGGAAATACAATTTATTTCGAAATAAACGACGTTGCTTTATTGTCCGCTAGATGTCAGCATAGTCAAGTGGGCCCATAAGCGTGACACTAATTTTTTGAAGGCTTATACAGTAAAGAGCGTTCGTGACCAGTCCTGTATATACGTCCGTGGTCAATACCTAATAAAATCTAGTTATTGTTATAATATACCTCATAACGTTTTAAATGTTAACTTATTAAAATTCTTTGATATTACATTAAATTATATAAAACTTGTGTAAATTTGTTTGTCTTCATATATTTATTCTAATACATGGTAGTATGGTACACTCATGAACATTAGAGGAAGGACGCCGAACTGTGTATATAAAAGTGGTCCGGAATTATCGCATTCCGCCAGAATGCGCGTCGGACCGTAGTGATGTCGTTTTTACATGTACAGCATAGGGAATTTATTGGTTTTTTAATATTATATTCTAAATGGTGTAATTTATGAATAATTACTATTGAACATTTTTTTAAAACCAAATTGCCCTCGATCGAATATATGTGTTTCCAATAATATACGACTTTTATAAAAAAAGATATAGTTGTTGTATCTTTTTATAAAAGTCGTATATTATTGAAAACACTTATATTCGATCGAGGGCAATTTGGTTTTAAAAAAATGTTCTATAGTAATTATTCATAAATTTCACCATTTAGATTATAATAATAAAAAACCATTAAATGTCCAATGCTATACAATATGTAAAAACGACATCATTACGGTCCGACGCGCATTCTGGCGGAATGCGATAATTCCGGACCATGTTTTTACGCTTCGTTCTGCTATGTTCGGCGTCCTTCCTCTAATGTTCATGGGTACACTATAAATCATAGAAAAAAGTGTACACTATTTATGGGGCACCTACACCAATTTGCACCGGGGCACAAAAGTATCTAGCTATACGGCACTGTTATTAATGTACTATTATATTTTATTTAGACAATCTCTAAGCTACCTATTATAGTTATTAAAAATTATATTTTTACTTAATTTGTTCTAAATATTATTTATTATTTTAAAAGCAATTTATATTGTTTTGAAGTAGTTTATTTGACCAAAAATATACATCTATAATTTATTATATTTATTAAAATATTTAGAAATTTATTCTGTATTATCCAGACAATATTAGATAATAGCCAAAAAAAATAATATAACATTATTAAATAGTAAACTTTAAAAGAAAATGGGGGTAATATATCCTCATCCATAGGCGTGACTAGACTTCAACGGCAGGGGAGGGAGCAGTCTAGCTAATGATAGGCGCTACCTTATTGGTGAACCAAAAGCCCTATACACCCAAAGCAGTTTATTTAAGCACCCCCTCCACAACAAAATATTTTTATAATTTAAGAAAGTCTAAATCATCTATTTACAATAATAGTGTACAGTAACTTCAGAAATATTATTCATCTGTAGGGATCAAAATGCCGGAAAAATTCTGATAAAAACCAAATTTTTTGAAAATTAAAAAATTGTATGTACGCCTAAAAATTAAAATAAACCATGTAAAAAAGAAACCATTTTAAAAGATAGATAAGGAAACCTGTCATTGTCATTTCACATTTGCCAATATGGTTTTGTCAACGTATTATAGGTATTGTATTTAAATTTTTTTTCTCAGTTGCGTTTTGCTCACCGAACAAGCAACACGTATATTTCGCTTTCGCAGTTCGCGAAATGGTGCTGACTTAGTTATAAAAAAATTTTATTTTTATTTTTCTAACGTTTACAATGCAAACCACGGCCTGTCGGACGGATGGTAAGTTTTTATAAACAAATATATTTTAAGTGGGTCACACTCAAACTGACTGAATTGCACAATGTATGCAAATATGGACGGTGGTTCAAATTCGCCGCATAACATAACAGTTGATGCTAGTATTTGGACACAAATACAAAACGACAATGCGACCTTGAAACATATGGTAACGGAATTGCGATTAAACAATGAGAAATTACAACTTCAGATTTCTAAAATGAAAGCTGGGAGCTCCAAAGAAATTTTAAGCTCGCCAAAAAAACCAATCAAAGTGACAAAAAAAGTAGCTAAAACTTCTGTAAAAATCCACAAACCACCTCCAATAACAGTATGTGGTGTGAATGATTTTAAACAACTAATGATTAATTTAAAACTTGAAGAAGCTGAAGGACACGAGCAACAAATGAAAACTTTGGCTAATGGTGAAATTAAGATACTAACAGGCGACGAACACCAGTTTCGACGAACTATAAAAGTATTATAACTTAGAAGAGCAAAAAGTTGAGTATCACAGATACCAACTTAAAACAGAAAAAAAGTTTCGGGTGGTAATTCTTGGATTTTGTACATAATGTTACAAACATTCAAATTAAAAAAAAAGTCGACCCTAACAACAAGTTTAGTGATCGAACTATTGTAAGGCTTCCATTATTCTTCGTGGATTTGGAGCCACAAGCAAACAACAGACATTTATGATATTAAAAACTTGTGCTATCATATAATAAAAGTGGAACCTCCAAGGAAAAATAAAGAAATTCCACAGTGCAAAAATTGCCAAATATTTGGTCACACTCAAAACTACTGTTTCAAAACACCAAAATGTGTAAAATGTAGTGAAGGAAATACTAAAAATTGGAAAGGATGCATCACTTATAAAAATGCAATAGAAAAAGCTCACCCTAAAAAAACTACAGCAGTATAAAGAATACAACAAAAGCCTGCGAAAACAGTCACTCAAGAAATTTCTTTTGCACAGGTGGCTAGTTCCTCATACGTAAATCAAAAGGGTCAACCGACCCAAACCCATACACAACAAAACAAAAATGTACCATCGCTATCTGACGTTATGGCAGCATTAACAAAATTAAATGAGAGATTGGACAGGCTTGAAAATAGCCAGCCGAAAACCAAAGCGCAAAAGAAAAAGAAATGAGTAGAATGCTTCGAATCATAACATGGAACGCTAACGGGCTTGTACAACGAAAACAAGAACTTAAACATCTTATGAATAACGAAAAAATTGACATAGCTTTAAGGGGCCTCACTACCAAGTCTTTTTTTTGTCAAAAACTACTGTTTCTAATTCCAACGATACGTGTCGAAAATTATCACGATTTTCATTCTGAAAAGATATTCTGATTGTCCGTAATATATACAAGGGAACGATCGAGCCACATTTTTAATTTTTGTAATTTAAATTGCAATAAAAATTGTAAAAAAATCAAAAAAAAATACAGAATTTCCAACTTAAATATTTAATTAACTAAATACAATTTTAAAAATGTGCCTCGATCGATCCCTCGTATATGTTGTGGAAAATAAGAATATTTTGTCAGAATGAAAATTGAGGTAATCGTTGCGACGTACTGTTGGAATTAGAATGGTATGTTTAAGTGGAAAATAAGCATTTTTTCATGATCACAATATTATTATATATTGACATGTGTGTGCGAGTGCGTGCGAGAGCTACAATTGACCCGCATGGACGCCACACACACTAATAATCATTTACGACTAACACATAGATCTCGGGTGGCGACGACGAGATTAGAAATTGCTAAATGATTCTCCTTAAATCAATGCCATTGCGAGGCCCCTTAATTTCAGAAACCCACTTCACAACGTGGACCACTCTAAAATTACGTGGCTATCGAATATATACAACAGAAGATCCAAGCAATCGTGCTCATGGAGGAACTGCAGTAATAATAAAAGAAACAATTAAACATTATGAACTTGATAAACATCCTCAAGAACATTTACAGGCAACTAGTGTCCATGTTAATGACGGCAACAACGATCTAACTATCTCTGCTATTTATTGTCCACCAAGACATAAAGTAGATGACAAAAAGTTTATTGAATTCTTCCAGACACTCGGTAGCAGATTCATTGCTGGAGGAGATAATAATGCCAAACACACCTTTTGGGGATCGAGATTGATTAACACCAAAGGGCGTGAATGGTTCAAATCAGCAAATTCATTTCAACTAGAAAACCAACATATTGGCCGACTGACCCAAATAAATTACCTGACCTTATTGACTTCTACGTAATGAAAGGAATTTCATCAAATTATACTTAAGTTGTAAGAATGCAAAACACCGGTTGTTTTTGTTTGATATATAGTGTTTTTTATTCTTGCATTTTGAAAAGAATTGTCAAATTTATTTAATTGTGTTACAATATATTCTTTTCATTTACACATGCTCTGTTGAGCTACAGATATTTTATTTCAGTTCAAATAATTAATTTATTCAGTTTTGTTTTACAGTATTTTCTTTTAACATACATATGCTCTGTCGAGCTACAGATATGGTTTTTATTTAAATGTGAGATGATAAATTACAATATTTAAAGACTCACGTGGACCGTGAAAGCAAGAGATAGAATACGTGTATGTTGTGTCCAATGGCAGCCTACTCTATCGGTGGTGCTGGATGACAACGATACAAAAATGTTCCCGGGCGGTGGCTTGACTCGTCCTCAGGTATAGGTACTGCACTCTCTTCGACTGGTTCCAACGTGGTTGATGATATTGATATGTATCACTTTGGTATCATGCGTTGGTTGTCGTGCGTACCGTCAATACGTCTGCGATACGTGAACGACGACAACAACAACGGTGATACGGCAACGGACTGATACGAGATCACAGCGGCGCGCTCGTAGTGGCGGCGGTGATAACAATACGACACGCGGCGTGATAACGGCGCTCGGCGTAGCGACGATCGTAACACGCGATGTGACGGTAAATCGAGTCTACCGGTCGTGGCGGCGCGCTCGTCGTGGCGGCGGCGGCAACGGGGACAAACAACGACTACTGCAACTGGGTACCGGGGGCTTGAACAGTACGTTTTGAGGCGTACCACCACCGATACCTAGCGAGAGTGTTGGGGGAATCTTCCTCTCCGTCTACTGTTAAGTGTGAGTGGCTTGAACAGTACGTTTTGAGGCGTACCACCACTCACACTGCGAGTATAGGGAGAGGGCTTTGCGGGAGAAGGCGGTTGGAAGTTACACACTAAGAAAGGCGGTAAGTTGAAACGGCGTGCGATTTGATGTGTTGAAACTGTAAAACTGGTGAACTGAGTGAGTTGAGTGAACTGTGTGATTCCATTGACCGTGCTGGCTCATATTTATGCCCTGTTTGCACTACGGGCGGTGTGTTGTATAGGTGAAAGTAGGTAGTTGCTTTCATTGTATTTCTGTATGTTGTATACTCTCTACCCTATGGGCGGCTACATGTAATTAGGGTGTAATCTTCTGGGGAAGATGATGGTTGTAACAGTTTTACGGGCTGTCGTGGTGGTTTTCCATAAAGTCGCTAGAAGTGTTGACGGTCGGAAAACCTGCGTAACGGCGCGCACTCTATGCGGCGTCATTGCGTCATCGGTTTTCTGGATGTAATACGTGTTTTCTTCTTAATTCAACTTCTTTGGTACTTCTTTATATGCTTGGCGTGTTAAGAGCGTTGTATAGCTTTAACTTATATCGTTCAATGTGCTTGAATAAGTCGTTACAGTGACAAGTTGGTAGCATAAGTAGGTATTCCTATCGTTACGGCGGCGCGTGTTTAATAGTTTGGGTTCGCGTGTTGGCGCGTGTATAGATGGCGACACATATTCCGTTATATTTAATTATAATAGCAATTCTGCATCGTTACATTGTCCCCTTTTACATTTATTTTTTTTTTTTATTATATGTGTGAAAGAGAAATTTAAAAAAAAAATTAATGTAAACTTTGTATGCTACACATGGATGTCTTTTCCACTGTAGGTCGGTATGCGCTATAGATCCGGAGGATCTGTAAGTAAGTTTTTTTTTTTTTACTCATGTTTTCTTATTTTACCTATGTTCGCTATCCATTTCATTTTTTTCTTGGCACGATTGCTAAGTGGTTTTTCTTCTGGATCAGCGGTAATTTCTTCTTCAATGGCACTTTGTTCCGTGTCATTGATGTGTATCTCTAGTTCTGCATCCCTGTTATCGGTTTCGTCTTCAATGGTGATTGCAGTTGTTTGTGTGGTTGGTTGATTTTCTTTTAACACTAGTTTGACAGAGTCTGGTATGGTGAATGTTGGTTCGATGGAATATTGTGTAATTTGTGCTTGTTTTATGCGTAAACATCTGGCTTCTGCTTTTTTCTCTTCAATTGTCTTTTGTTTTTGTTGTATATCTAGACGTTGTAGTGTTTCATGTGTTTCGCGAGGTTTTCTAATGGATAGTAGTTGATTATCTTCATCTAAATAATCGTTATTAAACAATTCAATCATTAAATAATATAAATGATCATTTAGATGTTCGTTTGCCATGTTGTCGTCCATCTGGAAATATATAAAATTATGTTATGACAATTATGAGGACAAATGACAACATGGTCTTATTGGGGTTTTATTTATAGTCTTGCAGAGGTGTCTTCAGTACTGCTCTTCCCTGGATCTGGGGGCATGTACCGTTTGACATTCTTCATGCTGTGTGTTGATATGATGTTTTGATCATTGCATACTGTGATTGTGTTATTTTGGTTCACTGATTGTATGGTGTATGGTCCCTTGTACAAAAGGAAAAATTTGTGTATCTCTCGGTCTTCTGCGGACGATAGTTTATGTTCCTTTATTAACACTTGTTGTCCCTCTTCATATTTTGGGAATTTTTTATTTTTGTCCTTTTGTTGGTTGCGTTTTTCTGATTGGTGTTTTAACTTGGTTCTTACGATTTCGATTATTCCTTTGTGGTCAGGTAGAATGGTATTCTCTGGGTAGTGAATTTTCTTACTTATGCTAAGGTTTGGTTCAGTACCATGAAGAACCTGTGTTGGAGAAAAACCTGTGGAGTCGTGAGTAGCGTGGTTTATCCAATATTCGATGTTGGTGAGCCATCTTACCCAAGCAGTGTGTTTCTTGTGACAGTAGGTTCTCAACATCCTGCCGATCTCCCTGTTTGCTCTTTCTACCGGGTTGCCTTCTGGATGATACGGAGTTGTATGTAATATTTTCACGTTCATGAGGGTTAGCACATTGTACCATTTGTTGCTGTGAAATTGCGTACCGTTGTCGGTGAGTATGGACTTCATTTTTCCGATCTTTGGTATGTATTCTTGAGTAATGCGCTTGAGGATAGTGTCAGTGGTTGCTTTTCTAAGTGGATATAATTGAATATATTTTGAAAAGATATCTAGTATAGCAAGTATGTATTTCGATCCACCTTGTCCCCTTGGTAATGGTCCCATTAGATCAAGAGAGACGATTTGAAGTGGTTCAGTGGGTAGGATGGTCCCTGTTGGTCCCCTTGCTCCTTGGTTGGCGCATTTTGATTTCTGACATAGGTCACAAGTTTTTATGATTCGCTTGACTGTTCGGTACATGTTAAATAATTGATATTGTCGATGTAGCATTTGGTAAATCTTTAGAGGTCCTAGATGTCCATATTTTTCATGCGTTTCGGTGATATCAAGTTCTAGCATTCGTTGTATTTCTTGGTCGATGCGATTACTTTTTGATACTGGAATGGGGTATGGTTTTTGGTAGATGGGTGTCCCCTCTGTTGTTCGAATTTGACATTCGAATGCAGTGATTTTCCCGGGACGGTCGGAAAAAATGTGTGCGTATTGGTTCATGAGTGTATCGAATTGTTCACTTTCTTCATCATTGATTGCTACTTGATCTTTTTTTTCTTCGTCGCACTCATTGATGGTCATATCTTTTAAGCTTCCCTGTGGTGCAGTAATTTTTGGTAATTTTTTTGAAAACGGGATGAAGTAGATTTGTCCTGATATTTTCATTCTGATCGTGTGATTGTCAAAGTCAATTCGCATGTTGTATTTATTTAGTATATCTGACCCAATAATGCCCCTTTCATTAAGTCCCTCGACTTGTATGAAATTAGACACTATAGTGGCTTCTTTGAATTGACACTGACAGAACACTTGTCTTGAGGTTTTGCATATTTGTTTGCCGACAGCATTACTTATCTTAACTCCGGTGACAGGTAGCTGTGGTATTCGTGGATTTTTCTTAATTATTGTATCAACCACTTCTTTGGTTAACACGCTGATTGTTGCTCCGGTGTCTACCAGTACTTCAATTTCTTCTCCCTCAATGAGGCATTGTATGTATGGACTGAATGACTCACCATTTCCCTCCATTTGATTGATAGTTTGTTCTGGCTCATCACTCTCATTGCTTGTGGTAACTTGATTAATTTGCTGATTGTTTTCTCTTGGTGTGTTTTGATTGTTTTGTCGATTATTCCATCGATTGTTTTGTTGGTAATTGTTGTTTCGGTTGTGGGGCCTGTGACTCCAATTATGTTGTGTCGTTTGTCCCTCTTGATTATTGTTCGGACGATTGTTCTCGTGTTGGTTCTTGTTTTGATGATGGGTGTCATCTTTATGAGGTTGATTTTGTCCTTCTTCGCCTAATATTTTCATTGCTGACAATATTGTTCGTTCTGGCATCGATACCAGGATGGCTCTTAGATAGCCTGGGTAGTGCTTTGCAATATGCTTGACTATTTCCGGCTCTGACAGGTGAGGTACTTCTAGGTGCCTTAGCTTGGTGGCCCATGTTGCGAAGTGTTCCCGAAAATTGGTATTTTGAGGTATGTGTGTAATGCTGAGGCACTGACTCCATACTTGGATTTGGATTTCTCTTGACCAATATTCATCAATAAATGCTTTTCGAAAATCATCATAATCCCTTAATTGAAATCGTATGGTCGAAAACCAGTTGAGTGCGGTTGCTTTCAGGCAATCTCCCACCACGATTATTTTTTCTCCTACATATAATTGTTTAATTGCAAAATATTCGTCTAGACGGTGTAGAAAGTCAACGGGATGCATGTCACGGTTGCTTCCATAAAATGATGGACGTGTCATTTCACTGATGTGACTTGGTTCTGGTCTTGAAGCATTTGTATATGTTTGTTTTTTATTTAGATTATTATAATTAAATTTAATTTCGTTCAATTCGTCTTCTAGTTCGGTGATTTTTCTTTGATATTTTTCTTCATTGTCTGCAATTTTCTGTAAACATTTTTCTTCATTATCTGCAAT